GAGCCCACGGCTGGGGAGAAGGCTTGGGCGAAGGGCGAGGCGGTGGCTGTCTGAACCTCGACGCTGTGGTGCGGAGGACTTTAGTGTCGGCGGTACTGCGAACTTCCTCGAGAAGGGAATCCAAAGCCTGGGAAATTTCGGGTTTCAAGAAGGCCAGAGTCTTCGACCTTAAATCTGTGCCATAGCGCTGTTTTACGAGTGCGGGTAGGTCGGATTGTAAGAGTTTTAACTAAGTCAAAACGACCATGTTTTCAAGGGTGGGAGTCAGTTCTTCATCAGAAGTAACGTGTGCACCATGGTGAGTTACGGGGCCGTTGGCAACAAGTAGGTTATCTTCAGTGAAGGACATTAAACGCTGAAATAAATCTTCGGCGTGTTCGTCGACCTCAAGTTTGATGATGGAGAAATGAAAAAATGATGTGATTGTAAGAGTTCACTCAATCGACCACAGGATAGGAAGACTCGTCGTTGCTTGGATCAACGAGACGGTTTTCAGGCTCTCGGAGACGTGGGTAACGAGTTGCTGCCACCACGCCAACTTTGAAGAGACAGGAACGTCACAACGAAGGAACTCTAACGGCATTAATATTAACGAAATCGCTCGTACAACAAGATTGATGCGATAATCCCACACACGAAGGAAAACCGGCGCGCGCATATAATATGACGCAATGCCGCAGGCACTGCCTGTTGGCAAATTATTGCACTTGAAAACATTTACAAATTCAAAGTAACCCTTTTCGCGCATAAAATTACTAACAATGCAACACACGTCCCTACGATACTCAAAGGAACCCTTACCCTAGCCTCTGAGGTTCATAGTTACAACACCAGATTTGTATCCAACATTAATTTTCATCGGTCAAGGATAAACAATAATTATGGAGCTGCCCCGTTTGCTTTTGCTGGGCCAAAAATCTGGCAAAAAATTCCCTCTAGAATAAAAAAAACTCCCATATAATAGCTTCTACAAGTAATACAAACTGTACCTTTTAAACACCCGATGAACTCTGCTAGGAAAACTTTTTCAAAATCTGATACGGGGTCTGTAAATAAAATGTTGAGAATAATGCAAGTTATTTTTATTGTTTATGGTGAAAATGCACTTATAGCTGTTCGAGCTAGTTTGAATGTACTAACACTTCACTTAAAATGCTAGTAAGCAAAACTTTTCACACTTATAATCAGGGATTTCACTAAGATCTCAAGTTGCTAGGTAAATACAACAAGTAGGCGGGGAACCAAACAGCTAGGGATTTCTTTTGGTGTTATTTTTCTTCCATTTTCCTATGAAAGTAGCCATGCTCTTAACGACAGTCCTGCTTAATGCTGACAAAACCAGGGCTGAGTTACCAAGTCAGTATTAAAATGTAACTGGTTGCAACTGCAGTCAGTAACACTCATTTTGATATATGTCACCAAATTGTCTTGCTTGTGCCACCTGTGACCAGTGACCTGCATTGTAGCCCGGTCACCTCACACCCAACCCGCTCTATGGAAAACACAAATTTTACACCGCATGCTACACTGTGAAATGGTAACTCAAACTTACAGGGCTTCCAAGAAAACAAATCCAAATACTGACGTGTTCATTGGAAATTATAAAAAGAAACGACTGACAAATCGATCAGCCTGAAGTTGGAATTGCTCAAAAACTTCCCCTTTTATATACACTGGTATTTCCTCCAATATAAGCACCCAGGTGCTTATTTTAGGAAGGAAGTAGGGTTCTTAATCAATCCTTTCAACGAACTGTACCGCACCTATTTGAAAGATTGTTTTTGATTAGCTGGGAAAACAATAGGGATTGTCATATAACAATGCCCCTATCCCTGAAAACAGTGGAAGTGCAGATTAAAGGGTACCAGTGAAATAACAGATTTAGAACGGTACAGGTCTATTGTGTATTTTAGCTTTTTAACTAATTTTTTGAACACAGTCTGAAAAACAAAAACAAACACAGTCAAATATTTACACTTATACACATACACCGGTACCAATGTATCGGCATGCATGTTTATAAAATATTGCATGATTAAATCATCATCCTTGTCAATGATATGCAAATTCTCACATTCCTCTTTTGTATCCGTACTATTTAAAAAAATTGATGGGCAGGGAAGGGGGTGCATATCTGACTGGGGCGTGGCCAAGGGTGCTTGCTGGAGGATAGGTACTTTATGTGTGTGCTATTTTGTTTTTGTGTGGTAAACATTAATTTTACACCTTAATGTCAGATCCCGAGCTAAGGGAAACAGTTTTGTTTTCCCTAGAGTCCTGATGTCGAGGGAAAACAAAACTAACTGGTTTCCCGAGGGACCTTGCATTAAGTGTTTTGTTATATCTCTAGACTTTCACTTCAACAGCAACAAAAGAATATAAAGGCGGAGCGAATAAAAACAGTCGACTTGGTATTTTCAAGAACACAAATTTAATTCTCAAAACCAATGAATGATTTACAAAGTACTTTCCTTATATTATCTGCATCTTTTTCCTCCAC